ACCCCAGGTCAGCACCGGTGAGCAGGTAGGGGTGAGGGCAGTGGGAAGCAGGTAGGGGGCAGTGGCGAGCAGATGGCAGCAGGGAGGCGCAGAGGGGGCACAGGTGGTCACTTTTAGTATGAAATCCAAGAGTGCAGATGTCCCACACACTGGGACATCTAAGCTGAGACCCCAAACCACGTTTCATACAGACCTGGGGTTCTCATCTCACTTCTGGGGCTGACCCCTCCTCTTTCCAGAACCTCCACTTCCTCTGGCTTCTCCAGCACCATTCACTTCCCCTGACCTCCTTGGCTGGCCACCCAGACCCCACCTCAGTGACCACAGCCTACTTCTGCCGACTTCCCTCACTCCCCCCCAGACACCCGCCTGGGGTTCTTCCTGTTTCCCAGGCCGGAAACCACCCGAGGTCTCAGCAGCGGTGGAAGGACCAAGGTCAAACCCCAGGAGGGCCGTCAAGAGCCTCTGCCTGGTCCCTGGAGGTCCGCTCAGCTCTGGGACTCAGGAGGGCCACCCCCCGCGGGAAGCGCCCTGGGATGCGCACACAGCGCATAGCGTCCTCACTCCCGCCTGGGGCCAGGGGTCAGGAGCCAGGCCGAGTGTCCGGGTGACACGGGGCTGATGCAGGGCTCCGACGGGACACCTGCCAGGCTTTCTCCTCCACACAGTGGACCCGGACCTTTGGAACCAGCCTGGTGACCCATGGACCCTGGATGCCACCCGCCACGCAGGCCGGCCCGAGCGCGAACGGGCTCCAGGAGCGGCCCGCGAACTGCTGGCGGGGCTCGGGACCTGTGTCCACTGCGCAAGACCCACGAGGGGTACCTGCCCTGGCGGGCCCGCCCCCGCCTTTCACGGGCACGCGCGTGCAGGCGCGCGGCGCGGCTCACCTGCAGCAACCCCAGCGCCGGCAGCTGGCAGCGCCCCTCCAGCTCAGCGATGAGCTGGGCCAGCTGGGCGCTCTGCTGCCCCAGGCGGGCCGCGCTGTCCCGCAGCGGGGGCAGCACCTCCAGCTCCTCGTCCTCCAGCCTGCGCAGCAGACGCCGCTCGTCCTCCGCAAGCAGCCGGCGCAGCCGCTCGAACTCCGCCAGCACGTTCTGCCGCTGGCTCTCCACCATCTTCTGCGGGCGGGCGGACAGCACAGCTGAGGGCCTGCCCCACCCGCGCCCCGCGCCCCCGCCCCGCCCCCGCCCTCAGCCCCGACGCGGGGTTTCCGCAGGGTCTGCAACAGGGCTCCCGCCTCGCGAGCTGCGCGGCGCCGAGGGCCGCAGTGTCCCCCCGCGGGGGCTCGGGTGCCGGCCGCTCCCCGCCCGCGACCTCGGGCTCTGGGCCACCTGCCTGCCACAAGGCACAGGTCTCCTCAGCCTGCGCCTGGAACAGCAGTGCATCCTCCATTTGCTTCCGCAGATGCTCCAGGGACTTCTCCAGCTTCCCCTGCGGGAAAGCGAGACCACAGTGACCTTTGCTGTGTGGGCCCGGGCCCTGCTCCCGTCAACGTCAAGCCCGCAGAGCCTGAAGTCGGCTGGCAGGAACCACAGTCGTGGGCATGACCGGCCGACAACCTCAAGTTAGCCAGCCAGGGCACAGCCCGGACACCCAGGCCCCTTGCCGGAACGTCGTGTCCTGACCTCCCCCAATCCCGGCCCCCTTACTTCTCCATGCCTGCCCTGGGCTCTCTGTAGGCCCCTAGCCGGCGCAGCTCTGCCTGACTAGAGGCTCCGTCCGACTTCCAGCTGGACCCAGGCCGGGGAGGTGGTGCTTTCGCGACCCAGCACCCCAGGGTAGGCGAATATCAGGCACAGCCCGCCCGGGGGGGCAGGTAAAGGCAGTTTGCTGGGCATCCCCAGCACCAAGACCAGCGAGGCATCAGCACCGTGAAGGGGTTGGCATGTGCCACCCCAGAGTAGGCCACTTTGGACACAGGGACGTCATAGGAAGGGCCCTCTGCCCTCCTCCTTTCTGCCTCCCTGTCTGTACCAGGAAGGGGAGAGCACTCAGCACAGATGACTCTTTGTCACAGATGAGTCTGCCTGAACAGACTTTTTTACTCGGATAACCCTGATCTTCCATCAGTCTCCCCCCGCCCCAAGTCCTTAGGTCTTCCTGGCGCTAGAAGCCCAAATCCCCTTTCCTTTCTCTAGCCCCTGCTCCCCAGTTTATTATTCGACGTTAACAGGGAACAAAAACTCAGTCTAACTGGGTCTTTCACTTCTTCTCTGCGAAGCCCCTTGTGTCTATGAGATTGAAAAGACTAATAAAATGTACGTCTTTTCACTTGTTACTCTGCCTTTGTTGGGTTAATTTGCAAGCCCCGTGCGGATAACCTAACAGGTTAGAGAAAAAGGTTTTGTCTCCCCTACAACAGGAAGGGGTAAGTGCTGTCCCAAGGGTCTGTATCGGGCCAGCTGGGAGGTGCCTCTGGAGAGCTGCTGGTCACTCTCTGCCCTCATGATCACCTTCCGCTCGTGACAGGAGTGCGCACTTGCTGGGCTAACACAGAGGGTGGGGTATCCCGCACGTGTGTTGTGCCCTGGAATCGTAAGCAAGACTACAGAGATCTGTCACAACGAGTCCATTGATGCAGATCGGGTACCAGTTTGTTCTGTGTCCCAGAGCTTGCTCTGTAACAGCGACAAAGTGGCCAAGCATTGACTCAATTGCCAAACCATGTCCCCGGAGCACCCAGCACACACACGCTCCTGGCCAGGAGCAAATGCAAACCACATTCACAAAGCTGGAAGGGCGCCACCCAGGCACTCCATACCTCGGTTCGTCCGGTGAGCAATGCAGGCGACAGCAGCCAGGGGAGTGTTTGCCCCGAGGCTCTCAGCAGTGGGGTGAGGGTTGGTTTGGGTTTTAAAGACATGCATTTCCAGAACAGATGGAGGCATCTCAGCCTAGTCAAAGCGGGGCTAACCCCTGGCATGTCGGATGGCAGAAGTGGCCCCAAGTATCCCACTCACCAAGCCTGATGGCCGCAGCAACCCTGGCACCTGACCCCCAGGGCAATGGCTCTGTCCTCCACCCATCCTGGCCTGGCTGACTTCCCACAGCCCAGCCTTGCCCGCAACCCTCTGAGGGCTGAGGCCTTGTCTGGCTACCTCCCTCCGACACCAGCTACCTCTAAGGTTCTGCTCCTGCTTTCTCCTGCTCTGAGCTCCATCCCCGCCAATGGTCAGTCACACCTGCCCGGTCCCTCCAGACTCCCACCGTGGGAAGTCCTAGCAGGGCCTGCGCCTCCCAGAGAGCACGCCTCTCCCCGACCTCCGGGCTGGTGGCCCAGCCCCAGGAGGGTGCGGGTTTGGGACTGGCTGCCCGCACACCCTCTGTGCGCCCCCCCCACCCCGGGCCTCCGGCCAGGCCCCGCCCCGCACCTTGAGGTCGTCGGCCGCGTCCTGCAGCGGGCGCACGCGGTGCGTCCAGTGCTCCCCCGAGCGCTCGCAGGCCGCGCACAGCAGGCGCAGCTCGTCGCCGCAGAAGGCGGCCAGCGGCTCGCGGTGCGCGGCGCACACGCCCTGCGGGACGGGCGACGGCGGGTGCAGGCGCCGCGCCATCTCGGCCATCTTGGCGAGCGGGCGGTTGGGCCGCAGGTTCCTCTGCGGGGACAGCTCGCGGCACTCGGGGCAGGCGTACGGGCCCTCGGGCTGGCCCCAGCAGCGCCGGATGCACTCGCGGCAGAAGTTGTGGCCGCAGTCGGTCATCACCGGGTCCGTGAAGTAGTCAAGGCAGATGGCGCAGGTGGCCTCCTCCTGGAGGTTGGTGGACAGGTCGGGGGCGGCCATGGCGCCGGTGGGGCGGAGGAAGGCGGCGCTCTCCGCCGGGTCGGGCGGTGGCCTCCGCCGCCGGGACTCTGGAGAGCGCGCGGGGACGCGGGGGCTCCGGAGACGCGTGGCGCAGGGCGCCGGGCACGCGGGGGTCCCGGGGGACGCGGGGTTCAGGCCACCTGAGGTCGCGAGGTTCAGGGCACCGGGGGACTCGGGACTCAGGGCTCCGGGGACGCGGGGCGCAGGGCGCAGGGCTCCCGGGACGCGGGGCGCAGGGCTCCCCGACGCGGACAGGAAGAGGAGCCGCGGCGGAAGCAGGAAGCAGCTGGTTTTTTTTTTTTTTTTCCTCCTTTGGAACAACCCGCTTTAGCCTCGGATTGGCCGCGGCCTGTCACGCGGCCCGCGGGCGGGACAGAGTTGGAGGCTGTTCACCCGGTGACCTCGCGGCGGCGCTGCCCCTGCCTGCGCGCGCGCTCGTAGCTCCGGGTCACTGCTCCCTCGCGTCCCAACCGGTTGCAGGACCCGGGCCATCGGGGCGCCCCGCACGTTCGCCGGGTTCCCCGCCCAGCACAGCGACTGCGAGGACGAGGGGGGCCTGAGGCTGCGGCGGCGAGCCCCAAGCCGTGCCCCGTGCGCCCCTGGGCCGGGCACGATCGGGATGCGTGGAGGGAGGGGCTCGGCCTGCGGGCGCTCTGGGCTGCGTGGGGAAGGCATACACTGAGTGGGATTCTGGGGTGCCCGGCGGCCGCAGGGTTGTGAATGCGCCTGAAACTGCAGAGAACGGCGGGTGGAGAGGAGTCTCTCCCACCCAGGACCCTTACTCTGAATTGCGCCCCGGCTTGTGCAGCTTAACCTCCCTTGAGGTTTTTAGGGATCAGTGTGGAAAGTTTCGTTTTCCCATCACCCCCCCCACACACACACACCCGCGCAAGGTGCAAACATGGAATGTATGGAAGACAGAGCAGGTGGACCCTGGAGGCCGCGGCTCTACGTAGAACAACCCGAAGTCAGCAGAGCCAGTGCGCGGGCTCCATCCCTAGGTGGGCGCGGGTATCCCAGGGACAGCTTTAAAGGCAAGCACGCCACACCGCGCCTGGTACTGGATGTCCTTACTCAGAATCGGTCCACTAGGAAACTCTGCGGCTTTTCAGAGTTTCCTTTATGAAACACGTGTGAATATAGCCTCTTAACATTTAACTGCTTTAATCAGGATATTTCATCTTTGTGAAACCGCCAGAGGTAAGCCTGGCAGGTGGCCTGTGCTGAGCTGGGCCACCTCACCTTCCCGGGAAACCAGGGCCGCCCGCACCGCCCCAGCCTCTGCCCCTATCCCTTCACCCACAAGGTCACTGTAGAGATGACCATCTGGCCTGATTTGGGGGCCCCGAGGCAGAAGAAGGGTTGCAGGGGGCCGGAGAATTCAGGCTGGGTGTAGGTGTGTAGGTGGGACCCGTCCTTCAGGTTGTAGAAGGACACGTCCCCTGCCTCGAAGTCCAGGAAGACCCCTACGTGGCTGGGGGGCTCGGCCAGCGTGACAGGGGCCGGGGCGGATGTGACCGGCAGGTACTTCTTTCCCTTGCACAGCTGCACCACCCAGAACCCGTTTTCAGGGGACTTGGGGACCCTGTCCCTGCGGCTCACGTTGTCCCTGCACACGCCCAGCGCCCAGAGTGCGTCACCGGTGAGGTTTATGCCCACCTCCCAGTAGTGCCTTCCCGCGGAGAAGGTCTCCCGGCCCACGGCACAGGGGTAGGCCAGGAATCTGTCCTTGCTGTGGGGCACGCCCTCCAGTGGGGCAGTCAGGTAGCGCCTCAGGCGGCTCTCGTACAGGAGGAGGTAGGGGTAAGCGGTGGTGGGGTCGGGCACCACATCCTCTGCAGACAGGCCCGGGGCCATGGGGAAAGGGGCCGGATCATCCCTGCCATCCCTGGCCATCCCCTAGGCCTCCCCAAGGCTGAGTCCAGCTGTGAGCCTGGGTCCCTGCGTGGGTCCCTACCCCACCTGTCCATATTAGTGGTGCTAAGGAGATGGGGGTCAGGGGGCCGTTTGGGCGTCTCCATCTGTGTCCCCGTAGGAATAGAATGGAGAGCATGGCCCTGGAGCAGAAGCTCAGGGCCCAGAGCGTGACTGGCCATTACGGAACAGTCGCCCCAACTGGCGGCTCACGCTGAGTGACTAGGAGCGGGGCGGGGAGTAGCCGAGAGCACCGGGGCCCCTGCTTACCTTGAAAGCTCTTGAGCACCTCTATCTGCCCGGGGACCCTGCAGACCGTCCTCAGCACAGTAGGGGTGGCCTCCGGGTACTGAATACTCAGGCTGTTCTTCCTCCAGTGGACACAGGTCTCACTGTCCCCTCTGGCCCCACGCGGAGCCCTCCCTGCGCCCATCACTGCCTCCCCCGCAGGTGGCCACGTACCTGCTCAGGAGCTCCTTCATGTCCTGTGAGACAGGGAGCGGGGAGGGAAATGGGCAAGGCCTCGTGAGGAATGTGGGGCGTCATGGCTGCATTTCCGGTCTGCAGAGCTAGAAGGGCTTTATGATGTTCTCCTGGGGCCCCGTACCCACTTTCCAGAGTGCCACCCTGCCGTGGCCACGCACAGGAATCCTCCACCTCTGGCCACTGGGCCCCCTGCCCTCCCCCTGGAACTGAGGATGCTGGAAGCTGTCCTGCTCACGAGGGGTGATGAAGGTGTGGGGCGGCGGTGGCGATGGGGGGACGTGACTGGTGACCATCGAATGGGGCCTTTTGTGCTTCAGACGTCTGCCTATTAGCTTGCAGACCAGCCACTTTCTAATGGAAGACAAAACGTTCCCCAAAGTTTGGGCAACTGTCTAACTTGTCTGCAGCAGGTGGCTCCCTGGGCCCAAAGCCCACGGGAGCTCAGGACGACAGACAAGCCCTGGGACCGACCCAGGCAGGCAGGATGTCCAGCGCGGCAGCATCTGCCTCTGGTGTCTCAACACGCCTGTGCGTGTGTGGAATCTAAGCTGTTGCTGTGGATCCCTGAGCTTGACAACTTTCCCACCTGTCAGCCACCGTCACCCCCCGCTGTCAGGGCCTCGCCGGGCCAGTGAGCCCTCACCCCCCATCACCACCCTGGGCTAGGAAGGGAAGGGACACAGTCTGCGGGCCTGGGGCCTGGGCAGACTGTCCTCCAAATGCATACGCCGGGGCCCCAGCCCCTAGGGCCCCAGAAGGTGGCTGTATTTGGAGATGGGGTCTTTACAGAGGGGGTTACGGTAAAGTGAGGTGACTAGGGTGGGCCCTGATCCCAGCAGATCGGAGTCCTTGCAGGAAGCAGGGTTTAGGACACAACACACAGAGGGACGGCCCTGTGAGGACGCAGGGAGGAAGGAGGCCTTGGGAGGAACTAGCCCCGCCCACACCTGGAGCTCAGACTCCCAGCCCCCAGGACGGGGAGACAGTACACGTGTTGTTGGAGCCTCAGGCCTGTGGTCTTTGTTACGCAGCCGCAGCTGACTGAGTCAAGGCCTTCCCTGTTTATATTTGTTCTGCAGTCACCTGGCCCTGAGCACACCTGGGCCTGAGCTCCTCCCCCACCAGCCAGGTGAGCAGGGGTGTGAGGGCTCCCCACCACCGGCCAGGTGTGCAGGGGTGCTGAGGGCTCCCCCCACCGGCCAGGTGTGCAGGGGTGCTGAGGTCTCCCTACAAACAGGTGAGCAGGGGTGCTGAGGGTTCCCCACCCCTGGCCAGGTGTGCAGGGGTGCTGAGGGCTCCCCTCCACTGCCAAGTGAGCAGGGGTGCTGAGGGCTCCCCTCCACTGCCAGGTGGGCAGGGGTGCTGAGGGCTCCCCCCCTGGCCAGGTGAGCAGGGGTGCTGAGGGCTCCCCACCCCCGGCCAGGTGTGCAGGGGTGCTGAGGGCTCTCCCCACCGGCCAGGTGTGCAGGGGTGCTGAGGGCTCCCCCCACCGGCCAGGTGAGCAGGGGTGCTGAGGGCTCCCCACCCCCAGCCAGGTGTGCAGGGGTGCTGAGGGCTCCCTACAAACAGGTGAGCAGGGGTGCTGAGGGTTCCCCACCCCTGGCCAGGTGTGCAGGGGTGCTGAGGGCTCCCCTCCACTGCCAGGTGAGCAGGGGTGTGAGGGCTCCCCTTCCCCGCCAGCCAGGTGAGAAGGGGTGCTGAGGGCTCCCCTCCCCCACCAGCCAGGTGTGCAGGGGTGCTGAGGGCTCCCTACAAACAGGTGAGCAGGGGTGCTGAGGGTTCCCCACCCCTGGCCAGGTGTGCAGGGGTGCTGAGGGCTCCCCTCCACTGCCAGGTGAGCAGGGGTGCTGAGGGCTCCCCTTCCCCGCCAGCCAGGTGTGCAGGGGTGCTGAGGGCTCCCCTTCCCCGCCAGCCAGGTGTGCAGGGGTGCTGAGGGCTCCCCTCCCCCACCAGCCAGGTGAGCAGGGGTGCTGAGGGCTCCCCACCTCCGGCCAGGTGTGCAGGGGTGCTGAGGGCTCCCCACCCCCAGCCAGGTGTGCAGGGGTGCTGAGGGCTCCCCCCCCACTCCGGGCCAGGTGAGCAGGGCGCCTGCCTCACCTGCAGCATCTGCAGGGGCGTGTGCTCCTCCCTGTCTTCCAGTGGCAGCAGGAGCCTCTCCAGGGCGTGGCTCCGCCTCTCCAGTGTGGCCGCGCTCTCCCGCAGCCTAGCCACTACCTCGTCCTCCTCCTGCTTCAGGGCCTGTAGGAGGCCCTGCTCCTTCTCCAGCAGGAGGAGGCCCATCTTCTCAAACTCCAGCTGGATGCGCTGCTTGTGCTCATTCACCTTCACCTGCGGGGGTGGGGGGCGGGTGTGAGGAACCTCCTGGGGACCTGGTGCCCCAGGGGTCCACTCTCTTCCTGGCCAGCTGCACCCACCAGCTGGGATGCTGGCAGCCCTCCACCCCAGGGCGCCGACGACCCCCAGAAAATGAGCCGTCCCTGGAGGGGTGGGAGGTCTGGGGTACCGGGCAGGGTATGCAGTGGACCCTTGGTCCCGTGTCCGTGCCGCAGCCAGCCTGGGCCGAGCGCATGTCCCAGATCCCGATTCTAGTGGGGCCTCCGAGCTCTGGGTGCGTCTCATCCACACAGGACAGCGATCTCCCCCCACCCCCCACCCCACGAGGCTGCTGTGCGTGCACACCCCAGCCCCCAGCACCTGCCTGCCACTCGGCCAAGGTCTGTTTCTCCCTGGCCTGCAGCTTCCCCGTCTTCATCATCTCCTCCCGAAGGTACCCCATGTCCGCCTCCAACTTCAACTGTGGGACACAGACAGCAGGATGTGGGATCAGGGCCCCTCACACCCTAGCATCTGGACGGCATCCCCTGAAGCTGCACCCCCAAAGAACACCGTGAGGGGGTGCTGGGGGTGGACACACGCCACCCAAAACGTGCCCCTTTGCAACAGTTATTTTGGGCTGGAACCAATCGAGAAGGAACAGTGGCAGAAAGACACCTTCCCAGGGCTCCCCTTTTCTGAATGAGCACCCAAACTTCTGAGAAGTGAGAGGTGCCCTGAATCCCCTCTCCTGGGAAGTCTTATGGCCGAATAGGAAGAAGGACCGTGGGCGCCAAGATGCATCTGCACTAATGCCCCTTCTCAGCCATGAGTTTCCCTGTATTCACTGCCTGCTGTGGTTTGCATGTGTCCTCCCAAGCTCATGAGCTGAATCCTAACCCCAGCACCATGGTGTGAGGACCGGGGCGGGGGGGGTGATGAGGCCACGAGGGTGGAGCCCCAGGAATGGGATTAGTGCCCTTGAGCCTCCCGCCCAGTGAGGACACAGGGCAAAGACTGCCCCCAGGAACCAGGATGCGCTCTCTTCCCCAACGGTGCTGGAGCCCTGACTGGATGGACCTGGGGAGGGCCTTCTTCAGCCTAGACTCCCGAATAACCATGGCCTGGCTGCCCACGTGGTCGTGGGCCCGCGCAGACACTCACCACGCGGTCCCACACTTGGGCTGTTGGTTATGGTAGCCGTCCTCCTGCCTGCCTTCTAACGCGTGCACTTGCCCCCTCCTGCATTCCCCTGCCCCCAGCCCTGGACCCACCTTGTACTCCTGCACGGCCTCCTCGATGGGGACCACCCTGTGGGGCCGGTGCGCCCGGGACTCCCTGCAGACAACACAGATGGGGCTCTGGTCGTCCTCACAGAAGAGTTTGAGCAGCTCCTGGTGCACCCTGCAGAGGTCCTGGCTCTGCAAGGCTGGGTGCCGCCGCGCCATCTCGGCCACCTTGGTCAGCAGGCGGTTGGGCCGCAAGTTCCTCTGGGGGGACAGCTCGCGGCACTCGGGGCAGGGGAAGGAGCCCCTCCGCTTCCTGCCCCCTTTCCTGCCTTTGACCTTCTCCCAGGTTAGCCGGATGCACTCGCGGCAGAAGTTGTGGCCACAGGCGGTCATCACGGGATCTGTGAAGTAGTCAAGGCAGATGGAGCATGTGGCCTCCTCCTGCAGCTTTCTGGCAAGTTCCAAGGCATCCATGTCTCCTGGGGAAGGAATACAATGTCCCTCACACCCTCCTCCAGGGACTCTGTCTTTGGCTGGCCCCACCCACGTTAGGGAGAATCATGCTAAGCTGGTTTAGAGTGCCCCCCAATATGATGTCTGACCTAGTTCTCAGTCCCCCACTGACCTGTCTAGAGCAAGAATCCTGTTAGGCCAGTCTGGCAAGAATCCCCCTCCCCATGGCACCTCTTCATGATTTTCCATCACTGACCCACCCCCCCACCCCTCTGGTCTTTGGCCATAAATCCTGACTTGTGCCCCCTATGTTGACATGACCCAGTTCTCTGCGGGGATCTCTTTCCCCCTATTGCAATAACCCTGAACAAAGTGTTTCTACCGTTCTAACTATGGACCGGCTGTGGTCTTCCTTGACAAGGTGTAGTGTGCATACATGCCCAGAACATAGACACACGAACGCAGGTGCAACTGCAGGAACACACACACACTAGGCGCACACACACGGTATGCACACGTGCACTCACCCAAAGACTGCCCACATGCACAGGGAACGAGCACATGCACTCACGGTATACACACATGCACACATACACACATGCACAGGGCAAGAGCACATGCACACACAGTATGCACACGTACACACATGCACAGGGCACGTGCACACGCACACACAGTAAACACACATGCACACATACACACATGCACAGGGCACGTGCACACGCACACGGTATACACACATGCACACATACACACATGCACAGGGCATGAGCACACACACAGTATACACACATGCACACATACACACATACAGGGCATGAACACATGCACACACAGTATACACACACGCACATACACACATACAGGGCACGAACACACACACACAGTATACACACGCACACACATACACACATGCACAGGGCAAGAGCACATGCACACACGGTAAACACACATGCACACACACACACATGCACAGGGCATGAGCACACGCACACATAGTATACACACATGCACAGGGCACGTGCACACGCACACACAGTATACACGCACACACATACACACATGCACAGGGCACGAACACACGCACACATGGTATACACACATGCACACATACACACATGCACAGGACACGAGCACATGTGCACACAGTATACACACACGCACACATACACACATACAGGGCACGAACACACGCACACACAGTATACACACGCACATGCACACGCAATGCACACGCACACACAGTATACACACACGCACACACGGTATACACACATGCACACATACAGACACATGCACAGGGCGCTGCACACGCGCACACGGTATGCACACACACAGGGCTCATACACACGCACACACTTTGGCCTGCCACTACCCCTGACCTCATGCCCTGGAGGTCCAAAGCCGCCTAGGCGGGTCACCCGGGGCTACTGGAGCCCTGTTAGAGGCTGGATTTGCACGTCACTCCTGGGCTGCTCTCCCGACCCCAGCTCCTGTTTCTGCAGTCATCTGAAGGGGTGGGGGCCGGGTGCCTCAGACGTTCCACAGTCCCTGACAGGGGCTTCAGTTTATCCGGAGCTGTCTCTGCAGAGACTTGGGGTCAGTCTCTCTCTCAGCTCTCAGCCACCCCGAGGTGCACTGCTGCACACCCAACAGAAGCGGGGGGAAGCGCGGCAGGCTGGTGGGCTGGGGGCCCGGGTCAGTGACGACGGACAGGCCACCCTCCGTCCCTGCTCCTCTGTAAATGCGGGGCTGGGGTGGGGAAAGTAGTTCGCCCTCTGCTTCCACTTTGTAACCATCTTCAAAGCGGGGTCTGCGACTGGGCCGGCAGGCGCGCGATCCCGACCTGAGCCTCAGCGCCCACCGGGTGACCGCCCGCCGGCCTCGGGGTCTTGAGGGACTGGTACTCACCGGGGAGGGGGCCGCGGGCCGCACCTCGAAGGGCGTCCGCAGCCAAGCGCGCAAACAGCGCCCCGGAAAGCCTGCGTTTGCGCGCTGAAGACCATCGGAGCGATGGCCACGGGGGAGCAGGGCTTTGTGGCGTCAGCAGGGGCGGGGGCGGCCGCAGGGGCAGGGGCGGGGGCGGGGGTGTGAGTTGTCAGCAGCCTAGGGTGGGGGCGGGAGCCTTGACAGGCGAGGGCTAGCGCTAGCGCAGAGTTGGCGGGGGTGGGGGTGGGGGGGGTGGGGGAGTAGGGGGTTCTGGCAGCGGGGGGTGGGGGGGGAGTGGATGGTAGGGACTGGATGGGGAGAGGGCATAGGCCAGTCGGGAAGATCTTTCTGAGAGGTAGGAGATAGCGGGGTGTGGGTCTGCGGGGCGGGGAGCCGGAGGTGGATCCCCAATGCGTAAGACTAGAGAGGAAGAGAGCAAGTCTGGGCGCCCCGTTGCGGGAGGTGAAGGGGTGGAAGAGGTCTCTGCAGGGGGGTGGGTAGATGAAGGGGGTCGCGGGGGTTGGCAGCAGGGTGGGTGCCCCGTTGGGGGAGATGAAGGGAGGTCTCCCCGTTGGGGGAGGTAAAGGGTTCTCTGGCGGGGGGGAGATGGAGGTCACCCCATTGGGGAAGGTGAAGGGGTCGCTGGGGGAAAAATGAACGGGGGTCGCCCCTTTGGGGGAGATGAAGGGGTCTCGGGGGGAGATGAAGGGAGGTCGTCACGTTGGGGGAGGTGAAGGTGTCTCTGGGGGGGAGATGAAGGGTGTCACCCCGTTGGGGAAGGTGAAGGGGTCGCTGGGGGGGAAATGAACGGGGGTCGCCCTGTTGGGGGAGATGAAGAGGTCTGGGGGGGAGATGAAGGGGGTCACCCCGTTGGGGAAGGTGAAGGGGTCGCTGGGTTGGGGAAATGAACAGGGGTCGCCCCGTTGGGGGAGGTGAAGGGGTCTCTGGGGGGCAGATGAAGGGGGTCGCCCCGTTGGGGGAGGTGAAGGGCTTCTCAGCCAGGCCTGCAGCAGCCCTACCTCTCTGGTGGTGGCTTCGCTAGTGGTCAGCGCGGGGTAGAGGGGAGGGGGCGGCTTCCAGATCCCGGGGTAGGGAAGGAGGGGCCGACCGGAGGGGTGGGGGGGCTCCAGGCAGGGTCGGCCCCTTGGGGTGTTGCCACTGCCGGAGGTGGCTTTGACGGGTCGCTGCCCCCAACCCCGACCTAGCCCTGGCTGGTGGCTGCACGCCCCCAAGTCCTGGGTCCTGGGGGAGCGGACAGATGAGAGAACTGAGCCTGGGCCCCCACAGGAGGGCGAGAAAGCGGTTGTGCGGGTGTAGACGCACGCTGGGACAGTCTGGCCGCTCATCCCCCTGTGCGCGTGCCTGGGCAGTGCAGGGGGGAGGGGCGGCAACTTGCAGATTCTAATCTCCCCTCCAGGAGGCCCCAACCCCTCTGCTGTCCTTTCCACCAGAAGGGCGGAGGGTTTCTTTCATTTTAGGACATGGAGTCACAGAATGTTTAAAACTTTAATTAAAAATTTTAGGAAAACACAAGAAAGCAATGGATCCCATACTAACACCTTTTAGGGTGGTTGCTGTGTCTGTCGTCCTGTCTCGTCTGGGAGGAAGCATGTTTGTGTTGTTTGAGCAAACCCCAGACACCCCTGCGCTCACCTCCACCTGCTGCTTCCTGTAGGGCAGGAAATATCTGGAGCCTGCTGGTTGCAGTGACTGCAGACCGAGTATCCGGAAAAAATACTGCGTGTATTTTGTATGCGTTGGGAGCCTGCCAAGGAACTAGCCGGCTTGTTAAATGGTGGAAGGCTTTTCGGAACACAAGGTGTACACCTGACTTAGTAGGGGAAACGGAGGGGAGAAATGGCCTCTGGGCCCAACGAGCAGGTCCGTTTAGGAAAGGCAAGTGGGTTGTGAGGAGAACGGGAGGTAAGAAAGCTTGTGACCCTGTTTGTCTGTACGGCTATGAGTGGTCCATCTCCTTCGGGTGGGAAACCGCTCCCAGAGGGGTTTAGGGCAGCCTCATTTCCCAGACCTTGCTTTTAGTCTAACAAGAGAAGCTCCCAGGAGGCTTTCTTTTGCATCTGTTGAATCGTACGTGTCTTTATCTTAAAATAATGTGGCAATTTTGGGGTCTGGAGTGGCCCCCACACTTCCCACGCATCTCCAAAACTGTGTTTCTTGCATAACCAGCACACACAGTAATTCCTTGTTTTATCTGCCCTCTGGTCGTTACCCAGAGTCCACCTGTTATCTCAACGGTGGCTGTTAAAAAAGTTGGTTTGAATCAGGATCCAAACAAGGTGATGAGGTCTTCCAGGACTTTAGGTTGGTACTGTTCCTCTTCTTTTTCTTACATATTTTTCCTCGTCCTCCATCATCTAAATGCCAATGACTGCAGGCCTCAGGGCAGGTGCCCTATGAGTCTGTTACCTTGCTTCTTTAGAGTGTTCCTGATGTTATCCCTCCATCCTGGGAACGCCTTGCCAAGGGAGGTTTGTTTTATTTTTTTAAAAGATTTTATTTATGTATTTGAGAGAGAACACATGAGCAGAGGGGAAGTGCAGAGAGGAGAGGGAGAAGCAGACTCTGTTGAGCAGGGAGCCCGATGCAGGGCTCGATCCCAGGACTCTGGGATCACAACCTGAGCCGAAGGCAGACGCTTAACCAACTGAGCCACCCAGGTTCCCCTAGGGAGGTTTGCTTTAGAGCTGAGTTTTGCACCAGGGATTCCCCCTCATCTTGCCCCGGGATTTTTTTTTTAAGTAGACTCCATTCCCAGGGGCTCTAAATCATGACCCTGGGATCAAGACCCGAGCTGAGATCAAGACTCAGATGCTCAACCAACTGAGCCACCGAGGCGCCCCAGCCCCCGGGAAGCTTTAAACAACCCTGTGTGGGGCAGCTCAGAATCTCTACGGAGGGGCCTGGCACCGCTATTTGTAAAGCTCTCAGAAAGCATCTCACTGTAAGAACAAACACAATGAAAAGTAAGAGGTTTAGGTCTCCTTGTGGAACATAAGAGACTCCCCCACCCTTCCCCTTCAGAATTTCTTTTTCTGTCCCTTGGAAATGCATGCAAATCTTTTCAATGGCTAAAGAAAGACCTGGGAATGTCTCATGGGCATTCTGGTTGGATGCTCATTCAACAACAAACTGGCTTTCTCCTTGCTTTTTGTGGAGATGTTTTCTGGGTTGGGAGCAGATTTCATTGTATGTCATTATATTTC